TATATGAAATGTATGAGACATGTTAAATCATTCCTTTAAATATGTTACTTTACTGATCAGTTTGAATTTTATGTGAAGACATTTTATATACTTTAATTAACAGTGAAACTTTTATTAAAGATATATATCGTACATTATAAATTATATAATAAATTTATTTTTTTGCATCAAAATGTAAGAATATATAATTAAATTAATTTAGAAGATTTATAAAGGTGAAAGTTATTCAATTTATTTATTTGAAATACAATACGGAGACATTTTTTCGAATCTCATTTGATTGAGTAACATATTGGAAGAAGAAACTCTAAAAATATAAAAGTATATAATACAGGGATTATTTTTTCACTTTTATTTTTTATATCAAAATAGAATATTAATATATATATAAATATATATATATATATATATATATATACATACTATATATTTAAAATAATTCAATATAAAATATTTTTTAGTAATCTTTGTGAAGTTACAATCGTACCTAAGAAGTCATGCAAGCAACCATGAGCAGGAGCTCGAATCGAAGGACAATCGAAAGGAGAACGGCTGCAATTTCGTTGCCTAAGCTTCTCGTGCCTTTTCTGTGCGTTACATTTTCGATCGAATAAGTACTTCCTGACCGTGTCCCGATCGTGAAAGTAACACTCTGTGCGGGAAGTACATGTTAAACTGACCATGTAAGAGTTTCGAATTACACCAACGATACATATTTAATGTTCTATGTTGAATAAAGACAGGCGCATTAATCCGAAAAGGAAAATATTTATTTGAATAATCGTGTTAACACATCGCAAATCTTACGTTCTCTTTATATTCGAAATTAAAATTATATCAAATACGCGTTAAAAAATCAGATCCCGTATCTTTTACGGTCTGTTCACGGTGCGTGAAATTACGCGAGACATTTTGAAAAGTTAGCGGAGTTACATAAGTTATGCATAATAATCTCGTAATACTCTCATAGAGAGAGTATTGTCTCTAGCATTGTTATCGTCATCAGTGCAGAAAATTAAATTCACTTCAAAATGACCTGTTCTCTGGCGCATTTTTTTTTCGATATTTATATTATACAAAAAAATTTTTAATAATTTTCAACTTATAGTACTAATGTATTTTTCAGGCTTGTTTAGCAATTAGTATCTACAAGAAGACATATTTTATTAAGAAATATAATAATAATTTAATATTGATAATAATTTTAAGAAAGTCATTAGAAAAGGCAAATTTACATATTATACTGTACATTATTAAATTCTCATTTAAGAAAAGTAAAATTTATAAATTTCAAAAAAATATATTTGCATTCTTAAACAATATACACGTAATGCACTTTATAGTTACGCTCTGTTTAGCCGCTGAAAATAAGTTGAACAAGGATCTTTACCGTGCAAATCATTAATCCTATTCTCGAGTAATGCGAGCTGATTATCTATTACCGCGATTTCATTATTCCCGCGTATCGTCTGTAGTAGTGATAATATCTGCCATTAAGTATAAAATATAGCCGGCTTCGAGTCTCTCGAAGCTCAGCACGAGCTGATTCTTGGTCGCAAAGATGTGTGCAAACGTTCCTTACACGATGTAAAAATACTTTTTTTTTATGCGACCAATAATTAAAATACATACACACGATTAGATTGACAAATGAGTTATTACGCAGCAGCTGATTAAAAAAAAATACAACACGAACGTGATTTAATTTACATTCACTTGTTATTCAGGGTGTTTTTATTTTATTCGCGCAGAAATTTCGCAGCGTTGTTCGAATCGATTTGATAGCAATCATCGATGCACGATTGTCAATTAATCGCCGACGTGAGGTAGCAATTATCATCGCATATACTCGTATGTAATTGGCGTTTTACGGAGGTGGATTTTTCTTTGGCCAAGGCATCTGCACGTCGTGACCTTAAAACCCACAGCGTGCAAAGAAAAAAATAAGACAAGGAAAATAGGCAACTGAAACTAGGACATTTCAGCTTTTGCAGCAGAAAAAAGTGGAACAGAATTTGCATTTTTTAAATATTTCATATCATGGAAATTATCAAATCATTTCATTCATGTTCATGAAACTGTTACTTTATATTTCATTTTTCATAATCACATCTGATGTTTGTTATTTTATTATAAATTAACATTTGTATTTTATTCTTGTGACTTATATTTTTCATTTTTATTATTGCGTCGAGACTTGTATTTCCGATAGACACGAAAATACTAATTTAATTAATGGATTAGTAAATAATTTAATTAACAATCTTTTAATTACATTTCCTTTACGATAGAAACATCATTTTTTATCGTTAACGTGTTTTTCTTCTTCATATTTTTCTATTTATACACTTTAAACGGAGCCTTGGGTCGTGCGTGTCGGTTTCGCGGCGATGTATCAACGAAGCGAGAGGCGAGAGATGCTCAAACACCTTGTAAGATCAACGCTGCAAGAGAGTAGCGCCGTCGTATCCCTTAATTTATAACCGTTCCATGCCGATCTATTAATCCCGAACGATTGTAAAAGCGTAGTGAATGCGATCGGCCGGTCGACGGCGCGCGCGGAACGCGTAATTATAATTATCCTAGCTATTTGCAGCCGCATAACTCACGGCTACGGCTTCATGACGAGGCGCGGTAAAAACGCGCGATCGTTTCGCGGACGACGCTCGTAGATCATTCGGGTGATCGTCTTTTTAGGAGGCGTCACTGCCATGATTAATGCACATACGAGCGTGATAAAACGGAGGCATTGGTTTATAATACGTTTTTTTAATTTTATTGCAAATTATACGGTGGCTGTTCGTGAGAGAAAGCCGCGAGCGAGTAGTAGAAATCGCGTAATTTTCTCTGCGAGTTCTAAAATTAGAGGAAATAGAAATTCGCTAAAAGAATGTCGATTTCGAGTTTCTTTGCATACACAATTAGTACGAAGAAAATTGCTCCTGTTCTCTAAATTTTATTTTATAAATTGTTTCTTCTTCTTTTATTTGCAGACCAACGTTATATTACCTCGCTGTTTATCGAATAATTAATAGAAATTTTAATTAATCGAAGTATTCGAGATTTTTCTCAATTTTACTTTTTAAGGTTTTCCAACAAATAAAATGCACGTGAGATAAATCTTCAATCAAAATCGTGCACTGTAAATATACGGGTGAACGAGTTGAAACACCTCGCAAGATTAACATCTCGTGCACTCGAGAGAGTAGCATATAACTCTGTCTTAATTTATATTCGCGTTGAGTTTTCGAGGTCTCGTCGTTGATCTGATCGCCGTTCACGCCTACGGAACTATTCTAGTTACGACACTGAAATACAAGTACGATGTAACATTACAGCGCGGACAACAAAGAGACTTTAGGATTAAATTGCATATCCCGAGGCTACTCGCAGAATTTCAGTGCTCAGTAACAGATAGATAAAGAGAAAGAGAGAGTGATTTTATCTTAACCGCTGCGCAAAGGTCTATAATTGATCAGAAATTATGTAATGATGGCGGATAATAATTGCAGTAGTAGGAGTGAGTGGATATCGAGTAAAGTTTTATGTTGAAGTGAAACTTTCTTTCATATTTTCGGAAATGTATTTATTTGAAACGCTTATAATATCCATGTTGAGAAAGAATGTTTAATTATGTTTTATATCCTCTCTTTATAATTACTGATTACATAATGACGTGAAAAAAAATTTATTACATAAATACGTGAAAAATACGTGAGAATTTATCATTTAACATATCAATTATATTTTGTTTGTAATAGAATATATAATTTCTCAATTTTATCTGGATTTTTCTACTTTTATAAATAAAAGTTATATTATTTATATAATATTAATTGCAAATTATGAATAATAAATAAAAAAATATTAAAATGAGTTTACAAAAAAAGAGAAATTTTTGATCAAAATATAATAACAAAGAATATCCTTGTTTTTGTTTAAGTATTTTCGTACATAAATATATTATGCAATTTACCTCGTTTTCCTTTCTCTCACGCGTTGCAAATTGATGTGTATCTCACGTGGCTTTATTATAGCGCACATAACATCGCAGGTACTCGTTACGGTATTCCTCATTGCTCTCTATCTCATCTAGGCGTATCCAAGAGCTGCCTCCTCCGACTCGTGCACCACAGTTATATTCATCTCGGAGATTATTATCCGATTTATATTGCGCAAACCCCGCTAATAAATTATGCCTGCGCGACTCGTTTAAATGCACGGTGCTGCGGCGAAATGCACGATACTTCGCCTTTCACCTTGCTACAATAATGCATTCTGTGTTCCGATGCATTGTGCTCGGTTGGGATAACTGCCATCGCATCGTTGCAGTACCTTGGGCCACAATTACACGGAAACGACCGGCGAAAATCGGTCGCTGAAAACCGTCATATGATTTCCCGTGATTAATGAAGAGTAGAAGTCGCGGTTGTGCAGCGTTTTATGCTCATAGCGTTTTTATCGTTAAGGAAATACTGCAACTATGCGAATTGAAAAAATAAAATTATATATAAGAATACATAAAATTATATATAAAATAAAATTATATAAAATAAAATTATATATAAGAATACATATTAAATAGACAATAAAATTTTTACTTACTATGAGATATATCAGAGCATTTATATCAGATAAAATTTATATCAAATAAATATTTGAGAGAAAAAGAAATTAATAAAACAAAATAAAAATTTTAAAAATAGAATAAAATAAAATAAATTTCATCTTTTTTCGAAGCGCAGAAGATACGAAAGTTTTCCTTTCCTTCAAAATTTTTGTTACTACAGCTTTATTTTATAAGAAATTTCCACATATGCATATAAACTATATTGAAAATATATCAGTTGTGGTCTTAAAAAATATCTTGTTCTGTCAAAAAATATTGCAATAGAAACTAAAGTAAAAAATATGTATATGTAATATGTATTAGCAAAAAATCATATTTTTTGCCAATAACATTATTCGTGTTAATCACTTGATTTATTAATGATTTATAGAAACGGTCAGATCCTGGGATAAACTCTCACAGTTGATACCAACGAATTCGGTCTATTCGGAGAAACAAGATCGAAATGCATTGCCGTCTAATAATGAGGCCGATACATCGTTAACGCATTCACTGGACGAGAACAATGTGATGGATATGAAATCGAAGGGGGAAGGCGATCATGTGGAGGAGGAGAAGGAGGAAGAAGAAGAGGAAAAAGAGCCTAAATTAACATATGACGCCGAAGATTATGAAGAGGAAAATAAGCATGAAGAGGAAGAGGTTGAAGAGGAGAAAGAGAAGGAGCATGAAGATGAAGAGGAGGAAGAGGAGAAAGAGGAGGAACAAAAGGAGAAAGAGGAGGAAGAAAAAGATTCCTCTGATATCGACAATAGCGCAACGAAGAAAGAGAGATCTCCGGCGGAAATAAGCAGCACATCGAATATTGAAGCAATAGACAATTCCAGGGAAGGAGATTACCTCGAAGAGCCCCCCACGAATCAGTATGACAATACATATTATTATTATGATGAATACGAAAATGGAAATCATTCTCAATACGAGCCCACAGGTGAGTTTAAGTATATAAAAAAATTGATTTCTTTAAAATATTAAAAGAAACAAATTTTGATAATTTTTTTCTTATACTGTGGATTTTTTGATATCTTTTTATTTGAAATATATTTAATTTATTATAGATATAAATTTTTTGTTAATCATAGATGTCTAGACATCTGATGTTAATATTATGTTCTTATTATGTTTTAAAACGTAAACATTATCTTTACTTATTTCTTCCCTTTAGACGGAGAAAACCTTGATTACCCAGACGCCGATTCGGAAGAAGAAGACATCACGCCGAAAAATGTGCCAGAATCAACGCTAGAGAAAGAAGACGAAGATGTCTCGTATGAATCATCTACTAACTCATCATTGATCAAAAAGCCAGTCGACGATGTGGGATTATTGATGGAACAAGGCTCATCTATGGAGAGCAGCGATAAAACATTCGCCATTTTCGGCGCGTCTGAAAACAAATCTGACGACAACGTCTCCGCCGAGGCGAGTTCCATCCTGATAGGCGGTGCTGTGGTATCTGTGGTGACCACCAAAAGTGTGGTGAACGGCACGATATCGGTGCCGACGACGGTCTCACCTACCACGGAGCAAGTCTCGTCGCCGATACCGTCGTCTTCGTCGACCGAAACGACGGAACAACATCTAGAAATAACCACGGAGGACTCCTCGAGGATTCTCGCTTCCGTGCAAACCAGTCGCAGCATATCGGGTGCGCGCTTTTTGCCATTTCCGGTAATAGATCGCGTGGAACAGGTAGAGGCGCATGGTGAATCGCCCGAGAGCAAGAAGACATCTCAGCCTCCGTCCGAGTCAACGGAAAGCATTATCGACAAACTCGACTGGGCGCAGTCCAAGCTGTCGAGTGATCTCCTGCCAGCCGCCATACTTGGTACCGGTGGTTTCCGGAACGCCGGCAATACATTACAATTGGACGTGCTAGCCGAGAAGGATCGTACGACGACTCGCAGGAGTTTTACCACTACGATCAAGACGCCAATCATTAGCAAGTTCGTCCCTCGACGTTACAATGATAGAAGATTAGATCATGGTGGTACTATCAGCACGATAAAGCCGCGATTAGAAACCACGATCGATAATCTGGAAGGTTTGTTGCCACGGAATTATGTATTGGGAGGAACTACACCGAGCACGGCAGTTTCCAAGATAAATTTCAGGTTGGATATATATTATATATTTTTATCAAATATTAAATGATAACTAGAGATTCTATGATGTGCTGAGAGAGACATAAATTTATAAGTTATTAATTATATATGTATATATAAATATACATGTACAGACGTATACATGATACATACAGGGTGGTTTATTTTAATCCCAGGCAAATATTTCGAAAAATATGGAAGATACGAAAAAATGTTTCCTACAAAAGTTTTTTGATTTCGAAGAGGAGATAAGATGATACTATTGGTTTAACCTTGAATAATCATTTGATGATCATCTTCAATTTCTTAAATAAAACTACCTATTTTTCATTACATATTCCTATCTTGAAAGTTTTCTAAAACACTATAATTAAGTTATTTTTCATTAAGTGCTTTATGAATTATGAGGCATGAAATAATTTCTTTTACATGAACATATGTAATTTGCAATTAACAGTTATATATTTTCTTTAAAAAGTGGCTATGTATTTTTTACATCAATTGATTTTTCTCATTTTGTACATAAAAATATTGAGGTAAGATTCGAAAAATGAATATTGTATGTTAGTTATAGTTAGATATTTTAGTTATAGTTTATAATTTGTGTAAAATTAAGAAATTATTTCAAGCGTAACGTTCCATAACTTGGGAAGTATTAAATAAAAAATAACTTATTTATAGTGTTTTGGAAAGCTCTCGAGATAAGCTACAAAAATAAATAATGAAAAATAGGAGGTTCCATTTTTAAGAAATTAAAGGTGACTTTCTTAAACGTGACAATTAAATAATTATTCAAGATCAATGATACCATCTTATGTGCCCTTCAAAATCATAAAACTTTTGTAGGAAACATTTCTTCCATCTTTTTCTAAATATTTAAAGCGATTAAAATAAATCATCCTATAATTGAAAATTATTATGCATCATTTTTCTTCCAGGTGGCCTTCTTCAAAACCGGCAACGTCCACGGAACTAACGGAGACAAAGATCACATCGACTACACCACGAACAAAATCTAAAACCAATATTATCATTCAAGATATTAGCGCATTCTTGCCACCAGGCTACAAAAAAGAAGACGCAGCTGTTACAGAAAGTTTAATTTTGAGTGACATTTTCGCCAAGTCCAAGGTTGATATTTCAGCTCTCTTACCACCTGACTATAATAAGAAAAAGCTCGAAGAAGACTCCAAATCGAAGAGTACCACAATGACCACGTCGTCAACAACAGCGAAGAGTACAGACGTTTCCCCGGGAAAGATCGCATCTTCTATTCAAGATCTCTTTGCTTCTTCCAAAGTCGACATCTCTGCCTTGTTACCTAAGGATTATGACCAAAAGAAAAAGAATCTTACTTCAGATAGCGAAATCGGTGATGCAAATAATAAACAGAATGCAACGGTCACAGAACGACCTGAATCTGAGTCGCCTACCACGAAGAAAACCAGCAGTTTGAAAATTGTGTTTCCTAGTAGACCAGGCGGTCGCAAGCCTATCCACAAAATAACTACTCCACACACTCCACGTGGAGATGGTCCAGGTGCGGTGACGCTAAAAATACAAAAGGGATGGCCAACTAGGTAAATCGATGTTTTATCATTTTTTACATCTCTATTACATTTAAACAATTCAAAATGATGTCTCATCTATTCATTGTAGATGTAATTTCATTCACGTTCTACGTCCTTTGATAATAATTCGCGATAAAGAAATTACTATAAAATAACAGTGTCCAGTGTGCATATATTATAGTGTCAACATTTTAGTAATCATTAAATCATGCGATAAATTTCAGAGCTACTACGGAATTTACTGGGTGGCCAACTCCGTCTACAACGCCGATTTCTATCGAAAAGCTACTGGAAGCTGCGCGGACAGCTACGGTAGCATCGGTGAATATGTCGCTGATTCCCAGTACAAACGAGATTTCAAGCACATCGACATCGACAACGACTACAACGACGCCGAAACCAACGACTCCCGGTATATGTGACGATGAATGCGAGGTCGCCGGCACGATACGCATCATCGGAAACGCGACGTGGGTGCCAGAACTGTTTGATCGGAACACTCGTGAGTGGCAGGAGCTTGCGAATCAGGTGGAACGAGAGGTATCTTTTAATAAGCTTCCTATATTTCGTGAAATATTCACTAAGTTTTTAATTTATTAAATCACTAAATCAATATTGTATTTTTAGGTAGACTTTATATTCTCAAAGTCTAGTGTTTTAATGAATTGGTATAAAAAAATAAGGATTGACTCCTTCAGGTAATTAATTTTGTAGATGTAGTTTGAAGTAGTGACGTTGAAATAGATAAAAAAATAATTAAAATAAATCTAACATTTTAATTTCACGAATAATGGAATTTTCGTATTAAAATTTTTGGCGTATTTTGAACATTATTACTGCAAATTACATGATGTCATATGAAATATAATAAAAGATGTAGTAACCATTTTCAGTCAAGGTAGCATTCTGGTAGACTACTTTGTCGAATTAGCCAATATAGAACAAAAAGTGAACACGCAGGAGCTAAAAGTGATTTTTCACGATTCGCTCAGAACATACAATGCCAATCGGTGGAATGAAACAGGTTCGAAGGGTGCGTTAAGGATGGGAATTTTTACTATCGATCCTAAATACACTGATTTTGTAGGTATGCTATCACATGCAAAATTTCTGTCAAATATTCTTATTTCTTGAATGTTTGTTATACATTATTATGTATTTTCAGTAATACCTAAAGCGTTTACACCACAGTATATGGAGAAGGACGATAGGTTGATTCCTCAGTGGGCCATCGCAGTGATAGTGATAGGCGTCGGAGGTTTACTATTCATTATAGTGTTTGGTGTATCTGTGGTAATTTAATCAAAACTGTTTGAAGCTTTATGTATAATTCAAACTAGAACTAATAAACGAAATTATTTCCAGCTCGTCAATAGACAAAACAGATCCAAGTTGAAGCCGACCACTATTTTCGATGAAGAAATAGTCAAGCACACGTCGAGTCACCGATCGAGCGATTACTCGAAACCGATACATATGACCGGTACAATATGGTCCGATCCCGACGTTTCTTGGAATGATAAATCTTTCGAATCAACCTCTAACAAGGTAAACATGCGCGTAGACACATGTTATGATCTAATTCACATATAATCGCATATGTTTACGTCCTATTGCTTTTCAGATTCTGGTTGATAAATCTTTCCAGGACAACAAGAAGTACAATCTATATGACAGTTGGCGATCTGAATGGAATGGTTATTATTACAATCCTTCGCATACGAGCAGCAAGTATGGTTATGATAGTACCACAAACTTATCGAGTCGTCACCATCCTGATTATGACACGAACTTTTAAATTTAACGGCAATAAAAACTGCAATTTTTTCTATCAATATAGATTTTATTTAATTTATTCGGCGTCTCAGGTAAGCAGTTACAAGAGAGATCCTAAAATATATATATACTGTTCTTCTAAAAATGTGCATATCGCAGTATCTTGATACAAAATTAACACATCCCTTTGTGAAAAAAATTTTAAATATATGAATTTGTTATTTTGTATTTTCACATATGTTAATATTTCGAGTTTACACATTATTTCGCGAAAATTGTCATTGAGAATTTATCCATTTATTCTTTATCTTTTCTTCACTTTAATATGAATTTATTAATTCTAGTCAGAATAATAAATAATCAATAATATTTGTATAATTGGTCCAGCGATAGATCACATATATGTGATATCGCGATATATTTAGAATTGTGGATATAGAATTAGGTGATAAAAAAGTTGACAATGAATTTATAAATAACGAGATATTAAGACTAAGTTATTACATGTTGTACAAATTTTTTTGTACAATTATTCATATACACATTATTTTTACATATTCAAATTTGTATAAAAAAATATATAAAACTCTTATAAGTAAACCTAAAATAATTTATCTGACAAGGGAAGTTCGGCAAGTCGAAAATTCAAAACAATCTGAAACTTGGCATAATTTTAGAGTAATATATTCTAATAACGAAACTATTTTTTGTTGGTGCTAAAAAACGGGTTTAGGGGTATAACAAAAATCGATTTTCTAGTGGTTGGTTATACCCCTAAACCCGTTTTTTAGCACCAACAAAAAATGGTTTCGTTATTAGGATATATTACTCTAAAATTATGCTGTTTCAGATTTTTTTGAATTTTCGACTTGCCGAACTTTTCCCTTGTGAGCGAAAATAAGTTTCTAATCGATGAAATCGTCGTTTTTTCTTGAGGATTTACATAGTATTTGAGCACGTTTAGAAGTTTTTGATATAAGAATGATAGCCTATCCATAAAAATATGAAATACATGATTTTACTATTTTTTCTTTCGTGTTGTACTTAATTCCAATAAGAGAATATATTTAATAAATATACAATTTCAAAACAACATTAGCAATTAAATACAAACTCAACACATGCTGGATCTTACATTTTAAAATAAAGTTTAAGATCACTTGGAATATCTTTTTTCTTTATCAATAATGTGTATTTTAAATGCTAAATTACCTATTACTAGCTAAATTGCATATTGATAAATGATCCTGTGAAATCTCGAAGAATTCTTCTATATTAGGGTCTGGAAAGACATATATATAGTACGAATTAGTTAATATAGACATATATTATCTTGTGATGATAACAGCCTAGATTTAATACGCATTAAGTTACATTAAAACTTAAACATATTATAAATCATTAAGTTACATTAAAACTTAAATATATTATAAATCATATATAAAAAATCTAATCTTATGTATTAAAATGTATTAATGTATTATCTGTCGAATTAAGACTGACGAATTGGAAGGGAAATTTTAGTGGATACAAGCGTAGGTTTGGCTTCGGCAAAACTAATAATGTCTGTGTGATATTCTTTTAACATTTCTAGGAATTCGTCATGCAATCTTAGCAATTGTAACGACCTGTAACGTTCGAATAGTATATATAGATAACATCGATATCGACCAATTAATAAATTTAATAGAAAATTTGGAAATTCCATTTTAATAAATATCCTTTGGACATCAGTAATCATGTTTGATTTAACATAATTGTTCTATTGTAATAGCTCGCGGGCTTCCTCATATTTTATCCTCAATCGACAAGTCAGGTCTTCGCTTTCAGAATCCCTAAGGTATAGCCGAGGTAAGGTATATGCAGATTGCTTTGAAAACAAAGAGAGCACACTTTCAGGATATTACTGGTTTTCGATTAACGGCTTTTAAAACCAAATACTTATTATGTAGTCACAACTTTATTTGTGTTTTGGTCTCTAATAACCAGGTAACCTCGATAAATCAATTTTTATTTCAGATAGATATTTTTCTTTCTCACAAACTCGATATTTGTTTTTTCCCGCGAACTCACAATTCCCTCTTTTTCCTACCTTCACGAGGTAGAGAGAAAAATTACTCTCGAAGTGGATCGAATGTGATTTTGAACGCAACAACAAGCAATTCATCGAAAGTGTTTTCGAACGATCTTTGAGAGAATCGAGGCACTCACAGGATATTTTCAAACGCTCCAGAAGCAACTCAGTTGTATAAGCATTTTGTATTCAATGCGACTATGTGCGACTATATATATTGTCAATAAATGTTAAATAAAATTTTGTTAACGAAATGTATCTTATATATACTCACAAGGCATAGTATGTTTATGTATTTAATATTTTTTTCGTTTCTTTTTAAAAACAAAATGCCACAATAGTATCTCTCAAATTAGAAGATGATGAGAAATGGGAGACTGCAAAGTTGTATAAAGGTGCGAAATTTCAGAGATTTATATTTAGAAAAATATAATATTGGCTAATATAAGACGTATACAGGGTATAACTGAAAAATTGGGAAGTATTGCAGTGGTGGATTCAGGACATAAAAATAAGAGAAAAAGTTCGTATAAACATATGTCCGATCCCAGGTAGAACATGAAACTCATAATGACATCATTATGACGTCATCATGATTTGATTTATCACTTAAAAGTTACCTAAACAAAAATGATTAAAAAATGAGTTAAAGATGACAAAAATAAGAATCATAAATTTTTAAGTTCAATAATCGTATTCAATAATTTTAAAAAGATTGTTGCTTAAATATAATGTATATTTTAATTATATTTAAGCAACATAATCTTTTTAAAATTATATAATACGATTATTGAACTTAAAAATTTATGATTCTTATTTTTTGTCATCTTTAACTCATTTTTTAATCATTTTTGTTTAGGTAACTTTTAAGTGATAAATCAAGTCATGATGACGTCATAATGATGTCATTATGAGTTTCATGTTCTACCCGGGATATGTTCTAATAAAAGATTAACTTTGTGTTGTCTATTCTGACTTCTCCTGATACACCCTATAGAACGCGTGAGTTTCATTGACCGCTGTATTGTCACTGATAGAACTGGGAGGGATAAGCATGAATTATCTCTAATAACAATCATAACACATTTGAGAAGTATTAGTTTACGTTGTATCGCATTGAGGCGCATTCTCATTGATTTTGATTAAGTTTGTTAAATGAGAGACGTGCACGTGCACGACGATGTGTCAATAGTAATCGCAGCCGGTACCGCGCGATTTGTACGCGCGACGTCGTCGACGACGACGACATGGCGACTGTCAAAGTAACGGAACAGAAGGTTATACTGTGCGGCGAATACGGCGTTGGCAAGACGTCTATATTCCGACGCTTTGCCAACAATACGTTCGTTGCTAGTAGCGATCGTAAATCGACTCTGGGCCTCGACAATATCGATAAGGAGTACGTCGTTGAAGACAGACGAATTCGCGTAAGTATTCGATGTTTTGTCCGTCAGTCGCTTCTTATTTTGTAAAATGTAAGACCTTTAATTATAGGCAATTTGGAAAGAAACATTTTCATTCACAGTCATTCGCTTCTGTCATTCCCTTTTATTTTATTGATTGAGTCAAGTTGCCTCTATTTGTATCACATATAGGTTACATTTCAAAACGTAAGTAATCGAGAGAAATTTTACTCGATGGCCGATTTGAACCATTCGGAAAGGCTTAAAAGAATTTCGGAACGACCATCCGAGTAAAATTTCCTCGGTTACTTACCTTTTGGAACGTAACCATAGAATGTTTTATATTTATATTATCTTCTATTGAACTGTATGTAACAAATCAAAATAATATGTCAATACTTCGTACATTATTCTTTAAATAGTAGTTTAAATATATATAATTAGAATAATTTAAATAGTAGTTAATATATAATTTTTTAAATAGTAGTTTAAACATATAATTATATTAATACATATATATATATATATATATATATATATATATATATGTACACACTTAAATAATATATGTTTTGCATATTCCTGAAATTAGAGTTAATATATAATTCTGATTTTAATCTTTCATGTTCTTTATTTTTCTTAGTTACAATTATGGGACACTGGTGGTATGGAAAGAGTAGCATCTGTTACTTCGAGTTATTACAAGTTTGCAGAGGCTGCTATTCTAGTATTTGCCCTGGATAACTCAACATCATTTCATTTATTATCCCAACACTTGCTTGATATTGTTACTTATGCAGAAAATGCAAAGATATTCCTTTGTGGAAACAAAAGTGACTTGGAGAGCGTTGCACCACAAGTTACAGATGTAGAGATGGAACAATTTTGGTAACGATTTTTAATGGATTACTTTTATAATTGGCATAAATTAATTTTTTATGATATGAATTATGAGCGAGATAAATCTCTTTCAGTGAACAATGTCATAATCTGATTTCGGGAATATACAAAACATCGTGTAAAACTGGTGAAGGAATAAATGAGATGTTTGAGGATATAGCGCAACATTTGGTGGAAGCTAATCGGTCGCGAATGGAGCTTCACGAGATGGATAAGGATAGATTTAAAATTTCCTATATCGATGAAGCAGCTGATCCGTCATGTTTGTGTTAATCTGTGATCGCAAACATATGTATAATCTTTGAGAATTTTCAATGCTCAATGCAGATAATATTATAAGGAAAATCTTTTATATTAACATCTATCACATGTGACTTTTCTATGAGGGAAAGTCGTGAAAAAAGGGTGAGAAGAATGTACAAGTGTAATGCACATATATGTAATGCACATATATAGGATGTATCAGGTCGAGTTTAACATACATGACAGTAAAGACTTTTAAATAAAAAATTATTATTTATGTTATGAAAAATTATATTTCTTAATTAAGCTTGATTTATTAATGTAATTTATGATCGATATTATATATTTAATCAATATACATACTATACATACTTCAGGTTGTAAGACTATACAATAACGAGCACTAGTGCTGAGTCCAATTAATAGTTTTCAAATCGATACCATCTTCCATCATCTCCCATAATGGACTGCAAAATGAAGATTAGAGTTTTGGCTCTTATTCTTAACATAATATCACGGCTAATGTTAGAGATAGAAATAATCACATGATCTCATGAAACATTCAATAATAAAGTTGTTCCCTCCATAAAACGAGATTAACGTTTCAAATTGTTAACATTAAAGTAATGCATAGTATAAGTTTAAATTATAAATCCTTCATTACATCTTACATTTGAAAAGAAAATAAACGTTTGTATGATAATTAATGAATGTATTACCTCATGCCCCGAAGTCGCTTCACTTGTTTTATCGTATTTTCCGCGGTGAAATTTACTTCTTCGAATGTTGTAAATCGTCCAATGCCAAATCTAAGTAGGTTATTTATAATGTTAATATATATATATATATATATATATATATATATATATACACACACATATATACACATACATTATAATTACATGTGTTATCTTATTAATTACATTTATAATGTTATTAATAAAATAACACTTTGCTCAATAAGGTTCTTCTATTTTAAAATATATATACAAGACATATAAATACGGATATTTTACCTAATACTGGAATGAGCTAGATCTTCTGAAGCACCAATCGCTCTCAGCACATAACTGGGCTCCAAGCTTGCGCTGGTGCAAGCCGAACCACTGCTAAGCGCTACATCTTTTAGAGCCATTAATAACGATTCACCTTCGACACATGCAAATGATAGATTCACACAACCAGGATACCAAGCCACAGGATCACCGTTTCGCACAACGTGCGTTAAGTTTGACATTATCTTTTCAATGAGGTAATTTGACAGCGTGTTGATGTATTTGTGATCGTACTGGAAAATACAATGTGAATCTTTAATCTTTAATCTTAAAACGTATTACACAGCAATAACTTTTGTTTTACTTACATCCATCTCGGTCTGTGCTAACTCACAAGCGGCACCCAACCCTACAACTAAGGGTGCAGGTACGGTGCCGCTTCTCATTCCTCTTTCTTGTCCACCTCCGCTTTGCAACGGTTCCACACGCACTCGTGGCCTTCTTCTGACATATAAAGCTCCAATCCCTTAATAAGCAATTAATAATATAAATACATAAAATACATAAAAGATATATCTAATTTCTTTATCGCAAATAAAAATTATATTCATATTTTTGATGAAAAATTCATTATTAAAAACTATTATATATATATCAGATAACAAAAAAAGACTTATATCTGATATTTTTGAGAAGCTATATTATTATTTCTCTTTTTATAAAAATATCAAATTATAATAAATTTAAAATTACCTTTTGGACCATATAACTTATGACCACTGATAGACATAAGATCAATATTCATGTCATTAACATCGATTGGTACTTTGCCAACAGCTTGTGCAGCATCTGTATGAAAAAAAACTTTCTTCTTTCTATAACATTAAGAAAAACAAGTAGAATTAAAAAGATAATTATAATAAAATAATTATAATGTATTAAAGTTGTAATATTCACCTGCAAATGGTGCCAATTTCCTCAATAGGTTGTTTAACACCAATCTCATTATTCACCATCATTACAGAAACAAGCGATGTAGATGGTTTAATAGCATCTTCTAATTCATTGAGATCAATGAGCCCATTTGAATTAACAGAAATATATGTTACATCAAATCCTTCTGCTTCCAAGGCTCTACATGAATCCAGTACACATTTGTGCTCCTAAATAAGTAGGACAAGTTCATTTATATCTATTAAGACAGGAGTTATTATAAAAATACAACTATCTCACTGTCTGGGTCGTCACAACATGATTTTTCCTAGATTTATAGAACCTTGCCACACCTTTTACAGCTATATTATTACATTCTGTTGCACCAGATGTAAATATTATTTCCTTCTTATCCGCTCCTATAAGATCTGCAACTTGCTGTTAAAAAGAAAATAGACAAATAATGTTTTATATATTATAAAATTATAAAATATACAAAAATAAATTTTGCAAATTAAAATACCAACTTGGCGAGCATGCTCAACTGCTGTTTCTGACTCCCAACCATACATGTGAGTTCTGGAATGTGGATTGCCATGATACACTGTCAGATATGGCATCATTTTATCTAACACTCGAGGATCCTATGTAATAGTTTGATATCTTAGTTTTTTTTACATATATATAAATTGCATCATATGACATCATACTTAAACTTACAAGTGGTGTAGTAGCTTGGGCGTCCAAATAAAGGGATCTACCCTCCATTGGACCCTTCTTATATTCGTCCGTGATAGGAGCTACAATGTATAAAAAAAAAATCAAAATCACTGATATTAATCACACTCGATATGTATGAAATTATTAAATTTAATATTGTACTGATTTTGATACTTTAACGATATTTACATTCATACTCGGCGATGTCCGACAAGTGCTGACTACATGTGTGCAAATGACAACTTTTCACGCGATGCAGCGCTGATATTAAACACCTCGTTGATCGAAACATTCTAATAATTGTCTGAAATTATTCTCACAAATCACACATTCCATAAACTCGCATGTTCTAACCTCGTCGAAGCAGCACCACAATATATACAGTAGCGCAACTCTCCCGATTTTGTGTAGCATAAAATGAAATGCGCATGCGTAAAGTCAGCGAGTATACCAGTACTGCCATCTGCACTTCCCTCTCACTCTCTCCTTTGGTTTTCGTTCTCTTTCTAACACATTATAATATGTAATATAAATTAAATTCAATAAAACTTGAATATATGTACATAAAGAAATCGTGAAAAATATAATATAAAATATATAATGCAAACATATATAAAAAATAATATATATGACATGATGTGAATATTAATTAACCATTTTATATGTCACATATAACTGATAGCAGAAAAGAATGAAAAGATATATACTCATAATACTCATTATATAATTTATAATATATTTACATATTAATACTTATATATATAATTTTTAATATATTTATATATTAATTGTACATACATATATTCTATATATATATTTTTTTTTTTTCAAAAACTTAAAATTAAAAAAAAAATATTTAGATTAAAACTACAATCACTTAAAGTTTATTATATAAAATATATATATTTATGATCAAAATGAAGAAAGAAACAAGAAATATATATTTGTTAATAATATATATTATTAACAAATATACACATATATTTCTAAATGTTTTTTTTCATTTTAAGTTTTTGAATATATATATATAGAATATATGTATGTACAATTAATATTATAAATATATTAAAAATTATATATGTAAGTATTAATATGTAAATATATTATAAATTATATGAGTATTATGAGTATATATCTTTTCATTCTTTTCTATCAGTTATATATGATATATAAAATGGTTAATTAATATTCACATCATGTCATATATACTATTTTTTATATATATTTGCATTATATATTTTGTATTATATTTTTCACAATTTTTTTATATATATATATTCAAGTTTTATTGAATTTAATTTATATTATATATTATAATGTGTTAGAAAGAGAACGAAAAACAAAAGAGAGAGTGAGAGGAAAGTACAGATGGCAGTACTGGTATACTCGCTGACTTCACGCATGCGCATTTCATTTTATGCTACACAAACTTCAAAGGTGCCGACAGGAAGTTGCGCTACTGTATATACTGTGGCAGCACTATACCATACCTCATCACCAATGATAGTGAAATGAGCATGAGCACAAAGCACAAGTAGATAAACCAGAGAGAAACCTGAGAGCGGCCACCTCGCTTTAACGGGTATATTGTCCTAATGCGCTCCCTGACAAAGTGGACGTCAACTACAACCATTACAGTCGATAATAATACATGGTTCGTGTCTGAGCTATGGTTCATGTCCAAGCTATGGAGTGACCCCAAAAGTGATACTCCCTCTATGGACATTCAAAACATGGACATGAACTACAAAGTCAAGGTCCATGAATGTTCTCAGAGGGTAATATATAATTGCACAATTTCTGGTTTTGTTCCGTGCTATGTGCACGAAATGCCGGTAGCACCAGTGCTATATAACAATTAAATACTTATGTGTGTAAATTGATAATAAATAAATTATTCAATCGCGACAGATACTGTAATATTCAAAGATGAAATAAATATTTTTCAAAATAAATTGGTAAATAATACGGCTCTATGTATTTATCAACATGATAATTAAGTAAAGAGCATTAAGAGCCCACAAAACGCGGATGGCAATGCCATTCGCATGGTAAATTATTTCGAACATTAATTGTTCGCGAAATTTTTTTTTTTTTTTTTTTTTAAATGCGTTATTAGGAGAACATGATTTGTAAAGAGGTCATCAACGCATCTTCGACCTCCTCGCAAAATATATTCTCCTGATAATAAAAAATAATAAGAAACGAATTTTCGAAAATTTTCACGCTTGCGTTATTAGGAGAACATGATTTGTAAAGAGGTCATCAACGCATCTTCGACCTCCTCGCAAAATATATTCTCCTGATAATATAAAATAATAAGAAACGAATTTTCGAAAATTTTCACGCTTGCGTTATTAGGAGAACATGATTTGTAAAGAGGTCATCAACGCATCATCGACCTCTTCGCACAATATATTCTCCTGATAATATCAAATAATAAGAAACGAATTTTCGAAAATTTTCGCGCTTGCGTTATTAGGAGAACATGATTTGTAAAGATGTCATCAACGCATCATCGACCTCTTCGCACAATATATTCTCCTGATAATATAGAATAATAAGAAACGAATTTTCGAAAATTTTCACGCTTGCGTTATTAGGAGAACATGATTTGTAAAGATGTCATCAACGCATCATCGACCTCTTCGCACAATATATTCTCCTGATCATATAAATTAGAAGAAACGAATTTTCGAAAATTTTCGCGCTTGCGTTATTAGGAGAACATGATTTGTAAAGAGGTCATCAACGCATCATCGACCTCCTCGCAAAATATATTCTCCTGATAATATCAAATAATAAGAAACGAATTTTCGAAAATTTTCGCGCTTGCGTTATTAGGAGAACATGATTTGTAAAGAGGTCATCAACGCATCATCGACCTCCTCGCAAAATATATTCTCCTGATAATATAAAATAATAAGAAACGAATTTTCGAAAATTTTCACGCTTGCGTTATTAGGAGAACATGATTTGTAAAGAGGTCATCAACGCATCATCGACCTCCTCGCAAAATATATTCTCCTGATAATATAAAATAATAAGAAACGAATTTTCGAAAATTTTCACGCTTGCGTTATTAGGAGAACATGATTTGTAAAGAGGTCATCAACGCATCATCGACCTCCTCGCAAAATATATTCTCCTGATAATATAAGATAATAAGAAATGAATTTTCGAAAATTTTCACGCTTGCGTTATTAGGAGAACATGATTTGTAAAGAGGTCATCAACGCATCATCGACCTCTTCGCACAATATATTCTCCTGATCATATAAATTATAAGAAACGAATTTTCGAAAATTTTCGCGCTTGCGTTATTAGGAGAACATGATTTGTAAAGAGGTCATCAACGCATCATCGACCTCTTCGCACAATATATTCTCCTGATCATATAAATTATAAGAAACGAATTTTCGAAAATTTTCGCGCTTGCGTTATTAGGAGAACATGATTTGTAAAGAGGTCATCAACGCATCATCGACCTCCTCGCACAATATATTCTCCTGATAATATAAATTATAAGAAACGAATTTTCGAAAATTTTCACGCTTGCGTTATTAGGAGAACATGATTTGTAAAGAGGTCATCAACGCATCATCGACCTCCACGCAAAATATATTCTCCTGATAATATAAAATAATAAGAAACGAATATATTGTGCGAGGAAGTCGATGATGCGTTGATGACCTCTTTACAAATCATGTTCTCCTAATAACGCAAACGTGAAAATTTTCGAAAATTTGTTTCTTATAATTTATATGATCAGGAGAATATATTTGTCGATGATGCGTTGATGACCTCTTTACAAATCATGTTCTCCTAATAACGCAAATGTGAAAATTTTCGAAAATTCGTTTCTTATAATTTATATGATCAGGAGAATATATTTTGCGAAGAGGTCGATGATGCGTTGATGACCTCTTTACAAATCATGTTCTCCTAATAACGCAAGCGTGAAAATTTTCGAAAATTCGTTTCTTATTATTTTGTATTATCAGGAGAATATATTTTGCGAGGAGGTCGATGATGCGTTGATGACCTCTTTACAAATCATGTTCTCCTAATAACGCAAGCGTGAAAATTTTCGAAAATTCGTTTCTTATTATCTTATATTATCAGGAGAATATATTGTGCGAGGAGGTCGATGATGCGTTGATGACCTCTTTACAAATCATGTTCTCCTAATAACGCAAGCGCGAAAATTTTCGAAAATTCGTTTCTTATAATTTATATTATCAGGAGAATATATTGTGCGAGGAGGTCGATGATGCGTTGATGACCTCTTTAAAAATCATGTTCTCCTAATAACGCAAACGCGAAAATTTTCGAAAATTCGTTTCTTATAATTTATATTATCAGGAGAATATATTTTGCGAGGAGGTCGATGATGCGTTGATGACCTCTTTACAAATCATGTTCTCCTAATAACGCAAGCGTGAAAATTTTCGAAAATTCGTTTCTTATTATCTTATATTATCAGGAGAATATATTTTGCGAGAAGGTCGATGATGCGTTGATGACCTCCTTACAAATCATGTTCTCCTAATAACGCAAGCGTGAAAATTTTCGAAAATTCATTTCTTATTATCTTATATTATCAGGAGAATATATTTTGCGAGGAGGTCGATGATGCGTTGATGACCTCTTTACAAATCATGTTCTCCTAATAACGCAAGCGTGAAAATTTTCGAAAATTCGTTTCTTATAATTTATATTATCAGGAGAATATATTTTGCGAGGAGGTCGATGATGCGTTGATGACCTCTTTGCAAATCATGTTCTCCTAATAACGCAAGCGTGAAAATTTTCGAAAATTCGTTTCTTAATATCTTATATTATTAGGAGAATATATTTTGCGAGGAGGTCGATGATGCGTTGATGACCTCTTTACAAATCATGTTCTCCTAATAACGCAAGCGGGAAAATTTTCGAAAATTCGTTTCTTATAATTTATATTATCAGGAGAATATATTGTGCGAAGAGGTCGATGATGCGTTGATGACCTCTTTACAAATCATGTTCTCCTAATAACGCAAGCGTGAAAATTTTCGAAAATTCGTTTCTTATTATTTTATATTATCAGGAGAATATATTTTGCGAAGAGGTCGATGATGCGTTGATGACCTCTTTACAAATCATGTTCTCCTAATAACGCAAGCGTGAAAATTTTCGAAAATTCGTTTCTTATTATTTTATATTATCAGGAGAAGATATTGTGCGAGAAGGTCGATGATGCGTTGATGACCTCTTTACAAATCATGTTCTCCTAATAACGCAAGCGCGAAAATTTTCGAAAATTCGTTTCTTATAATTTATATGATCAGGAGAATATATTGTGCGAAGAGGTCGATGATGTGTTGATGACCTCTTTACAAATCATGTTCTCCTAATAACGCAAGCGTGAAAATTTTCGAAAAT